ATTAAATTTAATTATGGGATGGGAGAATTCTCATCTGTCATCCTGGTGATGAATTAACTGAGGGGAGGGTTGTGAGCTTCTCAGAAAAGAGGGAGAGGAAGAATAAAACGTATTGACAGAAGGACAAACAGAAGGGACCCGTGGTGCCCTTTTCGGAGCCCAGAGAATCAGAAAGGTCCTTGGCACAGAGCCTCATAGCCCTCAATTCCTCCCCCTGTGCACAGCTTGTCTTAAGAATGCCCCTCTACAGAGCAGCTGTTTCAAAGTCCTCCCAGAAGTCCCCAGGGCCACATCACTTGGACCCTGTGCTGGTCATGCCCTGTCCATGTATGGGTCCTCACCCAGGAGGGGCCTGCAGCGGGGACATTCTATGTTTGTACATGGGCAGCATTTATGTGGAGTCCTGTGCACACTCCCAGTGAAGCGGGCCCCAGACCCGATGTGTGCAAAGCACCTGGGGCAGAGGCAGGATTCACTCCAAAGGGGTCAGGGAATGGAGGGGGAGGGGCAGAACTGCTCTATGTCTTGACTGTGGTGGGGTTACTTGACCACATGTTTGTCAAAACTCACAAAACTATATATTAGAAAGAGTGAACCCTGGATGGTTGCTCAGTGGTTAGAGTGTTGGCCTGCAGACCAAAGGGTCATGGGTTCAATTTCCAATCAAGGGCATGTACCTTGGTTGTAGGCTCAATCCCTGGCCCTGGTCTGGGTGTGAACTGGAGGCAAGCAATTAACGTGTCTCCTCTCTCTCTCCCTCTCTCTCTCTGTTTTCCTTTCCTCTCCTCTTCGCTCCCCTCCATTCTCTCTAAAAAGTCAATGTAAAAAAATATCCTCCAGTGATGATTTTTAAAAAAAAGTAAATTTTATCTTAAAAACTCAATTATATAAAAACTGAAATGGTATTATGAATTTAAAAAGTTAGGCTGGAACACTAAGCATAACGTGGACCTGCTCTGGACAAAGAGAGACATACCTTCACTGTTATCTGTCTACCACACAATTTTGTACATAACAGATAATCAATAATTGTGTCAATTGGGAAAAAAGGCACTTGGAGATGAGTGTTAACACGCAGATTCGTAGGCCCCACTTTCTGTGTGTCTGGGGCAGGACTCAGGGGTCAGCATTTGTCAGGAGCTCCTGGTGGCTTGCAGTCCCGAGGACCACACCTGAGATGCTGGGGGAAGCCCTAGGGCTCTCAGTACTATTCTCCCTCTTGACCACCCTCAATCACTTGCCACAGCCAATTGCCTGATTGTCCATCAAACATGGAGCATGCACCTCCCCCCCTCTCCTTTGCTCTGACATTCTAATTGCCTAGCACTGGCTCTATGCTTGCTCAGCTCTTTCTACCATGGTCGGCTACGGGCTAGAGAACATTTGGGGCTCGAGGACTGGAGAGCAGAGTGCCCAAGTTCAGGAGTCAGAGAGCTTGAGTTTGAAGAGTGGGATGGAACACACTACATGAGTCTCACACCAGTAAAAGGGGCAGTCGCTATTTACGTGACTGCACTGAATTCGTCACTAAAATAGAAATGGGTTTATCAGTAGCAACATTTTTGGTTCCCTGCCTCAACCCAGCCAGGCCTCTGGCCTGAATGCTCAGAGCTGTCTGTAGGCAGGCTCTGACCTGTGGCTCTGGATCTCACTGCAGCCTGTCACAGGGCAGGGCCCTCAGGCAAACAGCTCAGCTTAGAGCAGCCCCAGAGCCGTCAGAAGTGTTAAGGGGCCAGGAAGATGCTCCATGCCCCCGAGCCCCTCAGAGAAGCACTGCCCACCCATTTCTCTCAATTTGACCTTTGCCACCAAGGGAAATCAGGAGCAGTGGATGGGGAGGGTAAGGGCTTGGCTGAGAGAGAACACAGGGAGGGGCTGCCAAGAAGGCCATTGCCATGGCCTCTACCCCTGTGGGGTGACCTTGGCTGCTCCAGCTTGGGGACCCACCCGACCTGGGCCCAGGATGGCAGCAGCCTGGCGTGGGGTGAGGAGCTGTCACATCCTTGAACAAGACTCTACTGTAAATGGGGTCAAGCTAACAGCAAAGGCTGCTGCTGTGTCCTTGATATCCTATTTTTAAATGACAGTTAGGTTCAAAAAAGAAATGAGTGTTTGTCTAATCCAAATTAGTAACCAGTCCAAACCAAGGCTGGTCATAGCTCCTGGCATACACTCGCCAGCGAACAGGCTCTCTGAATGGCTGGGAACCATTTCCATCTTGTTGACAAACACACGTTACAAGACAGAAAATTACCCTCCTCAGTGCCCATTTTATCTCTGTTTAATTGCTGTTTGACAATAAATTACAACAGAGTCCATTAATTAAGCTAACAATGTCCATGGAACACCAATTCCTTCTTCTGGGAGTTGCCTTATTACAGAGCTTTGAATTAGTCTCCATTAACCCACAGCACTTTATGAAGCAGTTTAAAAAGATGCCAACACACGTGACTGGTGGGGAATGACTCCTGGTGTAGAGGGAGCTGTTAGGAGGAAGAGGAGAAACCTTGACGAGCCAGGGAGGGGCAGCCTGGCGGCTGGAGGGGAGTTCCCACTCTAATTCTGAACGCGCGGTAGACCAAAACACACCATTAGACTTACTTTACTGGTAAAGTATTGCCCAGCCTGTGTGGTTCAGTGGTTGAGCATCGACCTATGAACCAGGAGGTCAGAGTTCAATTCCCAGTCAGGGCACATGCCAGAGTTGTGGGCCAGATCCTCAGCGTGGGGTGTGCAGGAGGCGACCAATCAATGATTCTCTCTCATTGATGTTTCTCTCTCTTCCTTCCTCTCTGAAATCAATAAAAAGATTTTTTAAAAAATCAGTTGATGGAAAACAACCATGGCCAACATGCATCCTAGAACTGTAGGCAGCAACGAGCACCCTAATTTGGTCTGCCAGTCCATCTTCAGCTACATGGCAAGAGCATCCATCTCTCTCTGGACTCCTCCGGGTCTCTGTGCATAGTCTGAACATGACATTCCCCAACGTGAGTCCTTCTGTGTCTCTCCATTGCCCTCAGGGTCAAGTCCCAGCATCCCTTGCACCATCTGGGAACTTGTTAGAAATACAAAACCTCAGTCCCTAATCCAACCTCCTAACTCAGAAACTCTGGGGGTGGGGCCCAGTAGTGGGTGCTTCCAGGTGGTTCCCCGGCACACTGACATGTGGGCACCTGTGCTGTGGAGCACGATCAGGCCACTACAGATCTGCCTCTGCACCTCCCTTCTCTCAGCACTTCTTTCCCTCTTGCATTCTAAGCCCCGGGCAAAGAGGGCACCTCTGTCCTCCAACACCCAGCACCCTGAGCTATCTTGCTTCTTCCACACTTACTATGCTGTAGGTTTCCTGCCTCTTTACTTGTCTCCCCCTCTCAAGTGTAAACCACTTGAGAACAGGGTGGGTATCTTATCAGCTACCAAATGCAATTGTGACTAGCACCCACAGGAGGTGATCAAGATGTATCTGTTGAGAGAATGAGTGAATGAATGGATGAAGACACTCACTGGCTTCTTTAGTCCCTGCTGCCTTTGGTGCCAAAACTCCATTTCCCAATGGGAAGGAGCCCATCTACCCAGTCATTCTTCTGCACGCCACCGCACGTTTAGCCAATTGTCAATTCTGGCAGGGCCCAGTAATCAATCTTGAATTAAATAGATTAGATTTGAACTTAAAATGCTTTGGTTGTGCTGGACTCTGCTAGGTGACACCATGCTGAAGAGCCTAAAACCATTGGAAAACACAGATATTTACATTATGATTCATTAACAGTAGCAAAATTACAGTTATGGAGTAGCAACGAAAATAATTTTATGGTTGGGAGTCACCACAGCATGAGGAACTGTATTAAAGGATTGTGACATTAGGAAGGTTGAGAACCACTGTGCTAGAGTAGGCCTGCATTCTAGCCTGCTTTGCTAACAGGCACCTGCCCCTCCATGCTTCAGTTTCCTTATGCTGTCTGCTACTTCCCAGAGCGGCTGCAAGGACCAAAGGATTCAGGATTTGACCTGTTTGGCATTTCTCCTTCAGGGGACCCATCATCTTGAAGGGCCGAGGGTCTGGACTATGAGAACTGCCTGTGGTGATGGCAGAGGAAACACAACTCTTCTTCCCAGGTCCTGGCTTAGCGGGAAACAAAGTTCTCCGAGCAGACAAGCTGTGAGCCTTTATGAATGCATGCATGAGTACGTGTGTATGAATTTAAATTTGCATGTGAACAAATGCGTTCACAGGACATGAGAGAGACAAAAGGTTTCAGGGTACTTTGTCCAGGGTCTTCCATTCACAGGGCAATCTGTGAGTCTGGCTTTGAACCATACATGTAGTACTCCTCTGGAATTGAATAATAAATGTTTTCCCAATTGGTAGCTTGCCTTTTATTGCTATTGATTGACATAAAAATGTTTTAAATTTTTATGAATGGCAAGTGGAATGACACTTTTCGATATGCTTATTCCCAATCTTCAAGAATTTCTGCTAAGCGCTCGTGCGCGCGCGCTTAGCAGAAATTCTTGTTTTCACTTTGTTGGTTGATCATTCTGTCCTTTTTGAGTTATCTTGTGTGTTCTAATGAGAGATCCGAGAACACATGTTCTCTGAAATGTACTGCAAGCACCTTCCTCCTTCCCAGTCAGCACCTGGCTCTCACACCAACACTACAGACCAGGTCATTCTTCTGATCAAACTGATGGTGGCCTCCCAGGGTGGACATGTCCATCAGGTTTTCACCAGGGAATCTGCTAACCCTTTCTTTGAAGGTGTAAGCAGGCTTTTGTATATAATTACAATACATACACTTCTCTATTAGCAAATGATCCTCCAGTTTACATTTTCCTTTCAGTACGGCCCATGCCCACCACTTGTGAACCTTACAGAGAAACAACCAGAACTCTCCCCACAGAACAGGTGACAACCACCCAGGTAGAAGACACAGAAGTCCCACAAATCCCCTGTGGGCTGCTGAGTTTACTCTTTTCCTGGTCAGGGATGCTCCTACCTGGGGTCCCCAGCCGTGGCATGGGTACAGTATTGCTGTGTGGTTCTCTGGTGGCCCCTGGTCCAAGCAGACATCTTTTGCCTTGTTGTTGCGAAGCTGCAGGAATAAGGAAAACATCATCCATCAGAGCTCATCCTTCAGAGGATGCCGTGGGCACCAATCCTATGTCTATGACCTTCACCCACATGGCTCCCCGTCCCCAGCATGAAAAAGGATCTCAGGAAACATTTGGACAAAGAAACACTGGTCAGACATTGTGAGTTTTCCAAAGTGAGCTTCAGCACCAATGCTGGTTTTAATAACATTAGGAATCACAGGACAGTTTCTCAGTTCATTACTGACAGAGAGGCATGGAAAACAGTCATCAAAAAGCAAACAAAGGCCTTTCCATCATGCAGAACTTTAGCAATATTTATTTATTTATTTATTTATTTATTCAAAAAATATCGACTGAATGCATACAGCAGGCCAGGCACCAAGTGTTCAGAGTGCACCTTCAAAGGAACAGACAAATGTCCCCTAATTTGGCCCTCCAGGTGCACTGTGTTCTATGTGGGTGTCCACCCCACCCACCACCCTGCAATCTTAACCAGCGGGAAAACAGCAATGCTGGCCTTCTCCATGTACACGGTCCCCTCCAGATTATGCTCTCCATGGAAACCAAACTAACTGGGTAAATCAAGAAGAGGGGTTCAGAGATGGAGGGGAGGTGGCTCCTGAGCTAAATGCTAAAGAGGACAGTTGGAATGATACCGGCAATGTTCTGTTTTCCAGCCAGATGGCAGCTATGTGGACATTTGCTTTATACTGTTACATTGCACATGTATACTTTATGCCCACTGTATATGTGTTATATTTCATATGACAATGCAATGCCTAAAGGAAAAAAAGAAGTGCAAAGGTGAACTAGGGGCTAGGGCAGTCCAGGCCATGAGGGTAGTATGGACCAACCGCAGTATTTTGAGCAGAGGAGTTGGTGACCCACTGTTTTGTGCACACTGACATGCTTTTGCATGTAGGAAGGCAGTGTCTCATGCATGCAAAAGTCAGGATATAAAGCATACACATACCTTTCTCTTAAAATTATTTTAAGACATTCTAGATAACATAGATAAAAATATTTTAAAACAAATAAAAAGTGAATTATTGCCTAAGTAAGCCTGGACACTGGCACTGGATGTCCAGTGAGGCAGGAATGCCAGAGGTGACATCTGCTCAGAGGCGTGTGTCTCCCTTCGTCACTGGCTGGGTCTGGTGTGGTGATAAGAACTACTAGTAGTAAGCTTTAAATTACACTTGTCTGAATATTGGTAAATTTTGTCACTGAACTGAATTTGACTACAAAGTTATTCTTAAAGAAATGTATAAAATGCAAGTAGCCCAGCTGGTGTGACTCAGGGGGTGAGTGTCAATCTATGAACCAGGAGGTCACGGTTTGATTCCTGATCAGGGCACATGCCCAGGTTGCAGGCTCCATCCCCAGTGGGGAAAGTACAGGAGGCAGCAAAAGGTTTTCTCTCATCATTGATGTCTCTACCTTTCTCTCCCTTCCTCTCTGAAATCAGTAAAAACATATTTTAAAAATAGTGGTAGCTAAATAATGGTAGATTTTGTTACAAACTAAATTTGGTCAGTGTGACTTTTTTCATTGAATGTGATAGTACATCTGAAACACATTTCAGTTAATGGTGAGCTCAGCAAACAGAAGATGCTGAAAACGTTAACAATGCCTGGGAATTGGAGTAAGTTTTGTTTTCATCTTTATATTTTCTACAAAATGTATTCATTAAATGTATTACTTAGAAGAGGAGATTTCTGCATAAGTAAGACGTCCTCCCCACCCCAAAATCAACAACCATCTCCAAGGCCATCCCCTTGTTGGGCTCCAGAGACATCATTTCCTCTGCCCTGGCCATCTTCCCGCATTTTCCCATTTTTATTCTTCCTTTGTTAGTACTATTTTGTTCTTCTAATTATAATATTACACATAAACACTAGTGATATCTGGGAGACATGAAAAAGCCCCCACAGAAAACCTGCCTGTCCCACTTGCTTTTAAGAATTACATTATCAATACTTTTCTCAAGTCATTAAACTTTTGTACAAACCTTTTGAAATAGCTACAAACTATATTTAAACCATTAAGACAGTATATTTAACTAACCTTCAAGTTAGATTCAGAATTTTTTATTAAAAAAAAAAGTCACTAAGATGAACAATTTTACTCTCAAATCTTTGTCCTCATTTCAGATTATTTGCTTAGGAGAAGAGTGGAATGGCTATCATTAAGCCCTGTAATACATGCGGTTCAAATTGCTTTTTAAAAAGCTCATTTCAATTTGCACTCTCACGAGAGGATATGTGGCTTTTTATATTACCAAGACCTTGCTGGCAAAGTACCAGCACATATTCTAACAATGAGTATTTGTTCACTTGGTAGTAGGAGAAAAGCTATTGCAATGTATTTTAAAATTAGTTTTCACTTCTTTGATTATAAAATAAATTAGAAATTTTCATGTTTTTTTCAACTATTGTATTTTCTTTTGTACTTTATTTTTCTCTGGGATTTTAAATTTTATTTAGGTTAAATTTTTAATTTAAATCAATTTTCAGGGCTCATTATCTATTAATGATACTATCCATTCATCTATAGTATTTATGGCTTACCTATTTCCAGTTTGGCATATATTTCTCTATTTGGTTGATGTATAGATTACTTTAATATTTATGAGCTCAGATCCATTATCCTTTTCTTTTGCATTTTCTTTCATGGCTTTGATTCTTAGAAAGCCCTTCCTTCCCCTTTTAGAGATGAGATTCATATCTATTTCCCTATGGTTCTATTATGGTTTCTTTTCTTTCACTTAGACTGAAATTCACTTTGGGATATGGCAAGCTGTTAGAATCTAAATTGTTTTCTTTTCCAAAGAGCTAGGCAATTTACCTAATTATCTTACAAATAATCCATTCACTGCCCACCATTTTTCAATGCTTCCTTTATGTTTGATCTTACTTTGGTAACAAAAAACAAACAAAACACCCAAACCATGTTTTTTTATTTAAAAAAAAGAGAAGACTTCATAATTACTGTTGTGTGCCAGTTACTGTTCTAAGAACTCTACACATCGTACGTTTCATATTCCCAACAACCCCATGCAGTAAGCATTTTCCTTCCCCCATTTCACAGATGAAGGAATGGAAGCTGAGAGGAGCCCCCTGGGGTAGTGGATTCATCCAGCAGGCTGGCTCCGGAGTCTGCATGACACAGACTGCCCCTGAAAGAAGCAAGCTTCCCTTTCCCAATTCCCGCTCAGGAGAGACACCTGGCCTGGACCCTGATGGTTTAAACTGGAGCTGATTACAAATAGCCAAGATCTGAAAGCAACCCAATGAATGAAAAAGCTGTGGTATATTTATACAATGGAATACTACCCAGCCATAAAAAAAGGAAATCTTATTCTTTGTGATACATTGGTAGATCTAGGGAGTATTATGCTAAGTGAACTAAGCCAGATAGAGACAAGTACTCATGATTTCACTCATATGTGGAATGAATTTAATGAATAAAATGAACTAACAAGCAAATGTAAACACTCACAGGCCCGGCCAACATGGTTCAGTGGTTGAGCATCCATCTATGAACCAGGCCACAGTTCTGTCCCTGGTCAGGGCACATACCAGGGTTGTGGGCTTGATCCCCAGTATGGGGAGTGCAGGAGGCAGCCAATCAATGATTCTCTCTCATCATTGATGTTTCTTTCTCCCTCTCTCTTTTTCTTCATCAATAAAAAAAAGGAAAAGAAATGAAGCAGACTCATAGAGAACAAACTGACAGCTGTCAGAGTGGAGGGAAATTGGGGGGCTGGGTGAAAAAGGTGAAGGGGTTAAGCAAACACACACACAAGCACACACATACACACACACCCACACCCTCATAGACACAGACAACAGTACACTGATTACCAGAGAGAAAGGTGGGTGGGTAGAAGAAGGTAAAGGGGGGATAAATGGTGATGGAAGCAGACTTGATTTGGGATGGTGAACACATAATACGATATACAGATGATGTATTATAGATCTGTACACTTAAAAAAACTATATAATTTTATTAACCAATATCATCCCAATAAATTCAATAAAAATTAAAATAATAAAAGGCACCAGGCATAAAGTAGGAAAATTCACAGCTATTAAAAAGAGTAAACATGCTAAATCAAAGAATGCCTTGCTAGCTTCAGTCTATAATCAGAGATGGAGAATCTTTACTAATAATAGAAGAATATGCAAATTGACTGGGATGCCATCACAGTGACAGTAACGACCAAACAGCAGGCTTTGTGGGGCAACCAGGCCATCAGGGGGGATAGTGAGGGACAACCAAATGACTGAACAAACAGGCTGCATGGGGCAGTCAGGCTGGTGCGGGGGGGGGGGGGCAGTTAGGGGCTACCAGGCCAGCAAGGGGGGGGGGGGCCAAGTAAGGGATGACCAGGCCAGCAGAGGGGGAAACCAGGCCAGCAAGGGGGCTGTTGGGGGTGACCAGGCCAGCAGGGCGGTAGCTGGGGGTAACCAGGTTGGCGGGAGGGGGCAGTAAGAAGGGAGCAGGCTGGTGGTGGGGGGGGGGGGTCAGTTAGGGATGATCAGGCCAGTAGGGGTGGCAGTTGGGGTGACCAGGCTGGCAGGGTGGGCATTTAGGGGCAATCAGGCAGGCAGGCAGGTGAGCAGTTAGGAGCCAGTAGTCCAGGACTGTGAGAGGGATCAGGTCTAAACCAGCAGTCAGACATCCCCAAGGGGTTCCTGGGAGGGTATAGGCTGGGCTGAGGGGACCCCCCACCCCATGCATGAATTTCATGCACTGGGTTTCTAGTGTGTGTATAAAAAGCACATATGTGTGTGTATAAAATATATGTTTTTAGTAAAAAACAATATACACACACAAGAAAGAAGACCACACATCAAAATGTACACATTATCTATGCCTAGATACAATCCTGGCTACATGACTGATAGGCTATAAAACTTAGGTAATTTAATGTCTCTAAGTCTCAGCTTTCTTATCAATAAAATGGGAAAAATACTAGGACCTCATAAGGTGACAGTGAAATGAATTCATATGTAAAAAGCACTTTTAGAATAGTGCATGGCATTTTGAAAGCACCCAGTAAGCTTTTATTTTAAAACTTTTCTAAAATCTATATTTATGACAGTTGTAATAAGAAAGAATTCAGGTGTAAGGAAGGTGCTATTTTCTCATCATAGGAAATATCAAGAAGCACATCTGCACCCTTTCTTTGGCAGTAAATGGCCCTGGGCCACACAGCATTGAGCCATGGAGAGATCCAGTCTCCACCTCATTTTATACCCAACTTCCTAGTGAATGTCCCATGTACAGGTTCTAGGGGACTTCAAAATCAAAATGCTCCAAAGAGAACTCATTAGCCATTCCACACCACAGGCTGAAGAATGGCCCATGCCCCACTGTAACATTCCTTTTGTCTCTTCTACCAGTTGGGAGTGCACCATCAAAATCCACTCACTGAATGAATGAATGAATGAATGAGTACATGAATGAATGACTCTGTTTCTTATTTCCCCCCATCAAAGCAATATACAACCCATGGCTCAGAGCATGTATGGTCTTAATTACCTCCCCGTATGCAATGGTGTTATTGTATCTTCTCATTTCTGGGTAAACGTGGTCCAGGTACCACTGGAAATTCTTACACTTCAAACTTTTCCTTAAGGCTCTTCTTTCAGAGACATCACCTATGTCGATTCCCGGGTTCTGAAAGCAAAGAGAAGCGAAGGGCATTAGTGACTGTGGTAAACCATTGGAGTGTTACCCTCGAGTAAACCGTTGGAGAAAAATCTTAATTTCTCTGCAAGCTACTCCCAGTGTCGGATTTAAGGGCACCTATTTGATCATCTATCCCCAAACTAGACACTACTGTCCTCTGAGCACATCACACGGTCCCCAAATCAGCTGCCCCGATCATTGCTGTGCGAAAAGGGTCCTGGGACAGCCAGTGGCACCCTGTATCCCCAGCTGTGCCTCTCCCACATTTTCTGAGTGACTATCGAGCCAATTATCAGAGGAATTATTTGATTAAGACAAGGAAATAGATGCCTCTACACCACCTCCTGTCTTTCTTTTTCTGCACAGGTGTAATTTCCCCCTTTGTTGGCTCTTTGTGGAGTTCATTTATGCAGAAAGTGAAATAATTTTCCATCGCAAAGCTTGTAATAATGTCCTAATGAATAATTCACTCTGCTTTTACAGAAATGAACCTGTAATGGGCTGCTGTGTGCTGACAGGGAGAAATAAAGTAGCTGAAATATGACTCCACGGACTCAGCCACAAGATGGCCCTGAACTGGTGGATACAAGCTGCTCTCCACAGAGGCCACAGGGGCGGGGAGCCACGCAGCATCTTGGGGGTCCAGGAGAGATCAGATGATTTCATTAAGATTTCTTCTTCAGCAGCCAAACAATGATTTCCAAAGGAACAGCCCTTTAAATGTCAGACATTAAAATTCAAAGGCAAGCTGGGGTTCCGATATTTAACTCTTTGTTTTAATATACTTAGCGTGCTTAACGAGAACGGTCCTTTGTGAAAAGTGTGGTGGGGGATTCTGGCGTTAGGGACCAGAGGTGGTTTGTGATGATGGAGAAGGCATTGGGATAGTTGGCAGCCCTGAGGTCTTAGGACTCAAAGTCACACCACCATTCTAGGTCACAGCTCCTCATCTGCAAAATGGGAAAAAGAACACCTATTCCACTGACATCACAGGGTGTGGGCACAGGTGAATGAAGACTGGACTTCGCACCCCTCTCTGCCACGTGCTATGTGCAGGACCTTAATAAGCAAGTCCCTTTTAACCCCCAGAGCTTTAGTTTACCCATCTGTAAAATGGACATTAAACTAGGTTTACATCAGGTTAGCATTTATCGAGCCCTTAATGTTAGCCATGCTCTGTTCCAAGCCTTATTTTTAGCTTCCCAGGAGCCCTAGGAGAGAAATGTGAACAATCCCTGTTGTACAGATGAGGAAATTGAGGCAGATGGTTCCTAAACTTGAGGTTATTTTGAGGGCTAAATGAGATATTACAAGTAAGGAACTTACCTAGCACCTGGGACCTAGTAAGGGCTCAACAAATGTTGCCTATCTTGATATCCTAACATGTAACATCACTTATAATGTCACAGCTCAAAGCACTCCATTGCCATGGGGGTTTTCAATACTGTAGAACCTTGTTTCCACAATTGTAACAACAATGATATAAATGCTTCACTTTCATCCTCGTTATCCACAGACTCTGCACACATTCAACTGCATTTCTGCTGTTTTGGGCTCCAGCTTCCTGAAACATGGAGGCTGCTATCTCTCAGCAGGAACATTTTAGGCAATCCTCTCAAGGGCAGGCTTGGACAACTGGCTGACGAGGTAAAGCCAGCTGTGGCTAGGGGTTTGGCTCACCCTGCTATGTGGCAGAGGACAAACCACCCTCACCGACATTCCTATACCCCTGCCAGGCACTGCTCTAAGGATGTCACCGTGCTTAGATTTAGTACTTTAGATGTAGTTCTCACAACCACCGAGGAAGGAGGACCCGCTATTACCTCCATTTTATAGCTGAGGAACCCAAGGTACAAAGGCTGTATAAATGGATTCATTCAAGATCTCATAACTAGTAAGTGGCAGGGCTGGGATTCAAAGGGCTGCAGTAACACAGGCATTTTCCTAGGCTACCTTCTGGGTAGAATATGGGGAAGAGCTGAAGAGCCATGTAAACAAGGGATTCAGTAGACAGCGGGGGCACATGTCACGAGGCAGCTGGAGCTCCAGGGAGGGCAAGCCATTAGAGCAGATGACAGAGTCTGGTGCCAACGGTTTTGGGCAAGGACCTTCCGAACAGTGCATGTTCAGAAGCAGGGCATCCAGATGACTGTACTAAGACTGGGACTGACCCAATATAACCCATCTAGTTCTTGTAGATGGATTTTGAGGTTTCTGTTGTCACAGTCCCCCTGCGCAGTGAGGGCTCCAAAACCTGGACCCCCTCAAAATGCGTTCATAATTTTCAAGTCTGAACATCTTTCTGGGGAGGAAGCATCAGCTTATTAAAGGGGTCAATGTCCCATCCAACACAAAGATCAATGTTCTAGGGAGATGGGGAGGGTTTCTGGGCCCTACCTCCAGCGGCAGGTTCCACGCTATGTACACGTGAGACTTGTAATCGTCCATCCAGACCTCAGCCACCCGGAGAGCATTCCTCTTGGTGTAGAAGCCGATGTTGCTATTGTATGGCTTCTTCTTCCGCTCGATGTGGGCCACCCGTGAGCAAGGCAGGACCTCCATGCTGCCCCCGCAGAGCCATACCTGGAGGTGCAAGGACTTCATCAGCCTGAGAGAGACATTCCCAGAAGCCACTGCCCCTCCCCGAGGCCCCAAGGCAATGGCTTAGGAGACATAGTGGAAGTGAGAAATAACATGTTAACATATGAAGCCATATGAGATTTCAGGGTTGGTTTGTATCTGCAGCCCTAACCTAACCTAATTAAAACAGGTAGAAGAGATTTGGGGAATTTTTATAAATATGTCTAGAATATTAAAATCCAGCTCTGGGTAAGAGTGACCCATCAAGGTGCTCCTGGGACACATGGCTTTCTCTGTTCTCAGTGGTGCATTGGCATCCATGAAAATCCCCCGTCCCACTCCCCACCTGCTGGAACTGTGTCCAGCAGATTTAGACTGGAAAATTCAATCTAAAAAACAGACCATCGTTGTTCACATCAGCACAAAGTACCAGTACACAGGGGTCTAGTTCTGCATTGTTAATATGCTCCAATGTGGAGTCCGGAGAGCACAGATGCCCGGCATTCTAGAAGCATCCACCCCAATAAGATCATGTACAGGCATCACTGTTCCTGGAATAATCAGGTGGAAGGCTGACAGGATGGTTGTCTTCGAGAGATGCCAAAGCTCAAGGAAGCGACACCTGTTCTCTGCCTGGGCATGGCAGGCGTCCAGGCTCCCAGGCCCTGCTTCCAGGGGAAGCTGGACCATCCAACCACTCTCAGACCCAGGCAGGAAAAACAAAGCATTTCTGATTGCCCAGAAGGATTACTTTGTGAAATGTCCTGCTTCTTGGGAAAGGAGGAAGAAGACACAGAGTGATTTCAGGGACCTGTGGGATGTCCTGCGGAGAGCTCCTGTGTTTTCCCCCATAAAGGACATTGTGCTGGTGAACTGACTGAGGTCAGCACAAAGTATGCTCATCCCAGACGGGGTCATTTCAAGCCATTCTACCTGTAGTCTTTCCTTTTTTTATTATTATTTTTTATTTCAATTAATTTTTTTACAGAGAGGAAGGGAGAGGACTAGAGAGTTAGAAACATCGATGAGAGAGAATCATCGATCAGCTGCCTCCTGCACAACCCCTACTGGGGATATGCCCGTAACCAACATACATGCCCTTGACCGGAATCGAACCTGGGACCTTTCAGTCCGCAGGTCGACGCTCTATCCACTGAGCCAAACCGGTTTCGGCATGTAGTCTCTCCTTGAGTATCTGTCCACCTCTCCTGGTCCTTTATTGATTAAATTTGGTGGCAAAATTCATATGTGTGTGATCCTCTGTTTCTATTTCCCAACTCTGATTATATCACAGGGAAATCATATACCTCTGGAACATTGTTCCCATCACCAAGAATCCTCATTCACTGCTCATGCCTTCAATGAGGAGACAGTGAGCGAAGGGATTTGTAGACAGTAGTGCTTCATACTAATTTGATTTGGAACCTGGTAACTAGGTGTCCTCTTTGGTTGAGACAGACGCGTTAGAAGGAAGCCAAGTCAGGGAGGCAAAATATTGCAAAAGATCTGTGGGGAATAGGGGAAAGACACCCTGAAGGGTAAAACAAGGCAGCTGAATTTCTAGGGTTGAGGAAAGACACAGAGTTCCACAGTTATGTGGCATTTGATAGTTTCAATATTCAGGGGGCTCTGGCTAAGTAGCTTGGTTGGTTAGAATGAGCCAAGGTTGTGGGTTTGATTCCTGTTCAGGGCACATACAAGAAACAGCCAGTAGGTGCATAAATAAGTGGAACAACAAATGGATGTCTCTCTCTGTCTCTGTCTTGTTCTCTCCCTCCCTCTTTTCTTTTATCCCTCCCTCCCTCACTCTCGAGTCAATAAATAAATATTTTTAAAAAAGATTCAGGAAATAAATGAAAAGACACTCGTGTTCACCAATGAGAAAAGTTAATATTGTTAGGATGGCAATACTTGTCAAACTGATCTAAAGATTCAGCTTTCAACAAGGGTGCCAAGACAATTCAGTGGGTGGGTGGGTGGGGGGAGAATAGTCTTTTAATTGTGCTGGACAACTGCAAAAGAATGCCTTTGGACACTACCTCTACAAAAATTAAACTGTAAATAGATCAAGGATTTAATGTAGGAGCTAAAACTGTAGAACTTCTAGAAGAAAGTTCTACAAGAGCATATTTTCATGACCTTGGATTACACAAATGTTCATCAATTGATGAATGGATAAACAAATGTGGTATATCCATACAATGGGATATTATTTAGCAATAAAAATAAATGGAATACTGATATATGCTATGATATGAACAAACCTTGAAAACATTATGCTAAATGAAAGATGCCAGTGACAAAGAACCATATATTGTATGATTCCATTTACATGAAATGTCTAGGATAAGAAAATCCATAGAGACAGAAAGTAAATTGATGGTTGCCTAGGGCTACTAGGGGTGGGTTTGGAGAAAGGTAGAAAGACTGCTTGTAGGTATGACATTTCTTTTTAAGGTGAACAAAATGTTCTAAATTTGTGTTGATAATTGTACAACTCTAAATATACTAAAAAGCCACTGAGCTGTACACTTTAAATGGGTGAATTATAATGGTATGTAAATATGTCAACAAAGCTATGACAAAGTAAAGAAATTGATAGGAAGACAGATAAATAAGTCCACAAAGAGATGGAGAAAAGAAATTCCAGAGTTGGATTCCGGGTTGGGGAGGTTCCGAACGACTGAGGAAAACCAAGAAGGGGTGGGTACAAGCAGGGATCACAGGTGCAGGTATATGAAAAGCCTCAGCAAAAGCCAGGAACCCAGTTCCAAGAACAGAGCCACCAGGTGGGATTAGCTAGGCCTGTTTGGTGCCAATCCTTGGTAAGCTGCCCAGATCAAGGTCAGTATTGCTCCAAAGCCCAAAGTGCAATTATGCTCATGAGAAGGCTCAAGTGGCCTTGTGAGAAGTAGAGGTGAGAAGAGGAGTCAGGTTGCACCCTGTGTCATATCCCAAATCTCTTAAATGACCAGGGAGCGATGATGTCCCAGGCCAAGATGCAGGCAATGAAATACTCCTGTCCTGTGTGGCATGAACCTGGCTTCCTGTGCTGGGCTCTGGCATGTAGATATGAATTGGTTTGCTCAGTGAGAACCAATGCACAGCCACTTGGCTCTTCCTGTATAGTCTGGGGTGGGGCAAGGGGCTCTCAGACTCTGTTGGACCCAGAAAAGAGAGTGAATTACCATGGTAGGTACTGGCCCAGATTCCTAGTCTCTGTCTGGAGAAGCCTGGGTGTCAACTGATAGATGAATGGATAAATAAGATGTGGTACATATATACAATGGAATACTACTCATTCATAAAAGAGAATGAAATCTTGCGATTTGCAAGAACATGAATGGATCTAGAGGGTATTTTGCTAAGTGAAGTGAGTCAAACAGAGAAAGTCAAATACCATATGATTTCACTTATGATTTCACAACAAAAAACCCCCACAGCAAATGAATACACAAAACAAAACAAAAACAGATCCATAGATAAATAAAACTAGCTAATAGTTTCCAAAAGGGAGGGTGGTGAGGAGATAGATAAGAAAGGGGGGAAATGGGAGAGAGAGAGAAAGAGAATGAATCACAAGACTCTAGGTCCTAAGAAGTCTTAGACAAAACATATCTCTTCTGCTTCAGAACAACTGATGCCCTGGAAGAAGAGGACATTATTTGAGAGGAATGCCAGTGGGCGAGTGGCATTGGTATCTCTACCAGCATGAAAATAGAAGAGAGAGAGAGGGGGGGGGGGGGGGGAGGACGGTCTTCAAGGGTGTGCTGGTTTAATTCTATCTGATGCATGTTTCTTTCATTCATTCAACTTATACCATTTAATAAATATTTCACTAAGTCCTTAGAGCCTTAAGGATTGTGAAAAGTTTGTCATCAAAGTAGGAAAAGTTGGTATTCCCAGAATTACCCTTTAATCTCAGCCTGGTCAATGGTCTCCCTGATTGTCCTCTATATTTTCTCAGTTGAAGTCTCCCGTCTTTCCTTCAAGGACAGGATGAAAAATTGTCTTACATTGCTGGTTCCAAAGCCTGGATGTGCCTTTGAAGCACTAAAAGAGCTTTTAAAAATTATAAATGTCTGAGTCCCACCCCAGACCTAAGAATCTAATTCTTCTGGGATAGAACTGGGTATTTAAAGAGTTCCCTGACTTTTTATGTTGTGATGTGTAACCAGGTTTGGGAACCACTAGCCTAGGGCTTTTCTGAGGCTGTGGTGTTATGACTCTATATCACAGGGGCTGAAAGAAGCTAGGCTGTGCCTTGCCAAAGCCGGTTCAGTCTGGTAGTGGTTCCAGGTGTTGACAAGAGGCAGGGCATCTAATGTGCCATGTGCTGCCCAGCTCTCCCAGGGCCTCTGTCACTGAGGTCAGCAAGGGAGGAAAGGGTGGGAGCCTGAAGCCACTGCCAGGTGCAGGTGAAGAGCAGTGGGGGACGCCAAGGAGTCAGAACCAATGTGACTGGTTTGCTTATATCATTTATTCCTGTAGGCAGTGGCCTCCAAACGTTTTTGATATTCATTCTCCTCTGGGAAAAAATTAAAGCATATCCTTCAATATGTTTAGTTTATCCATTCTAAATTATATGCACATGCTACTGTACTAATATATTTTACACATGATAAATTAACATATATATAGAAATTGAAAATGACATGAAAAGGGAAGCATTATTATATTCCTTTTGTACCCCAGTGGATTTTCTTGTGTGGCCCACTTTGGAAACCACGTTAAGAATTCAAATATTCAAGGTCAAGTCTTATCCCCCCCCATTTTAAGAGACCAGCTGTTTATCTTGGGCAGCAGGAAATATTGAGGAATGAGGAGGTTTGGGCCACAGTAACCTAGAGAGAATTTTCAACTTTGTCATTGAGAGCCATGATTACTTAAAAGCCATTTTTCAGAGATGCTCCAAGAACCCCCAGGGACACTGCAATTCTGGAAAGAGCCTCAGATGCTGTTACAGGAGGAAGCTCAGAGCCCTCTCCCCACCCCGTACCACA